GTCCAGTTTCGGTAACGGTTAAGAATCCACACCCCACCTTAAGTAGAAGCCTCCAGTCCACAGTGAGTGTCATTTCACATTCTAAATCAGCCTTCAGCAATGGTTCAACTTCATTTCAACTCTGCTCTTGTTTTTGATAATGAGTAATAGAATGTGTAACGTGGAGAACAATTAAGGAGTAGCTGGAGTGAAAACTGCAGTTCTCCTCCAGCAATGATTGAACTGTGCTTCAACTCTGTTTTTACGCTGACTGATTGACTCACTGACTAAACACTGCAGGGTTTTTTGTTTTACGCACTACATGGATTAGAGGCTGATGTGCTGCTATGAGTGTACACTTGCTGTTTTACACCTGGAGTCCTTTCATACGACTGTTGTGGAACCAGTGTAAATAATATCTGTGGACAAAAGTGTTTTCATGTTTTCCATATTTTCCTATGATTTTGACTCTTAAGTGGATCCAATTATTTATTTTTTTCTCATCAGTCTACACACAACACTCCACAGCGACAGTTATTTTAAGAAAAATACAAGACAGATATTCAGTAAGTGTTCAGAACCTTCATGGAGTATTTGGTTAAAGCACCTTTGCCAGCACTGACAGCCTTGGTGGGAATGCTCCGACAGGCCTGGACATCTTTCTTTCGGAGGTTTGTCCCATTCTTCTTGGCAGAATCATTCAGGCCCAACCAGGCCGGATGAAGAGTGTATGGTGCACAACCATTCTTAGGTTCTTTTAGAGATGTTGGGTTCAGGTCTGGCCTCTAATGAAGCCAATGCTGTTATTTTGGCAGCGTGCTTTGGGTCATTGTCTTGTTGAAATGTATTTACCCCAGCACAAGATCCTGAGGATCCAGGAAAAGGTTTTCGCTCAAGATTGCTCTCCTATTTGCTGTTGCAGAAAAGATCCCACACAATGATGTTGCAACCATCGCGTTTCACTCTAGGGATGGTATTACTGAGGTTTCATCCACACGCCGGTGGAAGTTATGGCCATGTAGTCCGATCATGGCATCATCCAACCAAAGGGTCTTTCTTGTATGCCTTCAGAGGTGTTCAGGTGCCTTTCAGCAAACTCCCACCAAGCTGTCATTTACCTTCGAGTGAGAAAAGGCTTCTGTCTGGTCATTCTATGACAAAGGCCATCTGATTATTGTCCTTCTGTAAAGTTGTTCCATCTCCACCAAGCAGCTCATCCATAGGGACTATTAGCTCCTGTTAGCTGTCTGACCACGATTATTCAGTGTGACTGGGCAGTCAGATCTAAGGAAACTTCTTTCATTTGAGAGCAATGATGCCACAATCCTGTCTCGCAGGTCTACAGGCAGTTCTCTCGACCTCATTCCTACGTTCACTTGTGTAGACTGATGATTAAAAAGGAACGGAATTCATTTTGAAATGAGTCTGACACAAAAAAATGTTGAAATCTTGAAAGGATGTGGAAAATTCCTGAATGCACTTTATGTGTCAGTATTTCTTTAATAGTTTTCTCATTTTTAAAGGCAACACAACGCCCTGACAAGGAAGCAGCGTTGAATCAGAGACGAGGCCGTCAGCTTGCAGCGTACACAGCACTCACACGTCTGCTTTGTTGTGTTCATTATCATTTCCAGGAGGGTCTCCCCATAACTTGAGCTTCAGAGTCAAATTCTTTGTCACAGACCCCAGTAAGCTTCAGGAGGAATACACACGGTAAGAGCCGATGCTTCCAGTGTCACTGGGCCTTGTTGTTCATGTTTCTGCGTTTGTGTTGTTTCATTCCAGCTGTCAGCTACATTCAGATCCAAGTGACAGCAGAAACACGTGACTTTTTTCTTTCTTTGTGTAGTTTTACTCATATGTAGAGAGTCTGCTGGAAATGGCTTTTCCAGGTGTGGGTTACAGAGAGTTGGAGCACACCTTCACCTCACATGACTGATCAGCTGTTTCCACGTTTTTTGCAGCCTAACCCTAACCCTAACCCGAACCCTAATCCTAACCCCCTAACCTTAACCCTAACCCTGACCCCCTAACCTTAACCCTAACCCTAACACCATGTCGAGGGAGTGAAGAGACCAGGGGGGATGGCGAGGTGCAAAGCTTTGAATAAACTGAAGCTTCAATGGGACATTGTGAGGCTGTCTGAGCGAGAAACTTTAGTTCATGAAACTTCAGAAGTCAAGACGTGATCAGCTGTTGATCCGTTGTGTTTGGTTAGAACTGTGATCCAGCTGGACTCATGACACATACTAGTACTGGCAGAACTTCTGTTTACCAGTACGTGGAATGTTCTGACCTGCTGGTACTGCACCGTGATGCACATACATGTGCTACTACGGCAGCTTGTCATAACACGGCCCAGTGTTACCAGCCCTAGAGGTTTGCAGACTTTTAGTTTTGTCTCTATATACCACATAGAAACATGTTCACCGGGCCCATGTTTGGTATCGTTTTTTTAGCACAACATTCCCTATATGATCTGACCACTATTTCTTCACTTTGACCAACTATATTAACATTTTGGGCTCAAGATTTGAAGAAATGTTTTATTTATGACAATAAAAACCACAAACATGCTTAATGAAGCTTTTTGAAGGTTGAAAATGTCACCACAGGTTGCAGATGTGAATTTGAAAAGGTCAATTTAATATAAAATCAATGAAATACAAACATATACAACTATATATGCAACCATATACGGACCAGGTGAGGCTGTCTTCCTGTTTGTATCTGTGCCACTCCTGAAAATAGTTTCTGTCCAGAATGAGGCATTTTGGTAAGAGGGCGCAAGCCGGTAGTATGAGGGCGCAGTGCCCTGTAACGCTGTTCAGACAAACCTCTGGTGTATGTTTAGACCAACCTCATGCATTTCCTTAGAGTTAGATCTTCCTGTAGATCTTCAGTCAACTACATAATGTTAAATTAAAGAGCTTCGGTATCGATTCATCCAGCTGGATTCCCAGGACCAGAGCTTCACTCTCTGTCTCGTTGCAGGCTCATCAAGAAAAATAAGAAACCAGTAGATTTAGTATCAAGGCCATAATGTGGCCTCCAACCCACCGTAGTGCAAACACAAGCCCTCCACCCGCTGTCTGCTTGCTGCTCCAGCAGCATGCAGAGGAGGCATCACAGCACTGTGCCGGCGTTCCTTTAGCCTCTGAGCCACGGCCGTGCTGCCCGGCCTTATCTGCACTCTGGATACGCCTGTAAAGGTGAATCGTGAGCCGTGACTCTGACATGCTGATCGGTTGGACTGTACTTTCAAGTCACCATCAAACCACACTGCTGATGGCTTTGTGGTGCCGTGCTTATGACACCGGCAGTGTTGTACGCAGCAGAACTTTTAGGAAATGCTGATGACACAGTGGGGCGGTTTTCATCCTCAAGTCCAATCAAACTAAGCTGTGTACGTTTTTCTTGAATGTCTCTCATGTGAAACAGCCATTTAATAGAAATGTGGTGTCTGTTACAGTCAGTGCTCTCGTCTGCCATGGGCTGTTTATTTATTTCACATTATGAACGCCTCCATCGTACGTCACACCTTTACAACCTCACTGCTTGTCTTTATATTGTACTATTTAATGGAGGTCATACTTTGCTGCTGTCTTATCCTAATGCAGAATGTTGTCTGCCCTCAGGTACCAATATTTTCTTCAGATCAAACAGGACATATTAACTGGAAGGTGAGTATGTCGTCCTCTGTGCACTACGTGTTGCTGTATAAGCAGGCTGGAGCTTTGTGCCTCATCAAAAGCTTCCACATGTCTTTATATAGTCATGATCACTGCATTAAATATTAGTCTCCACAGTGAGTTGTTCTACGATGCATATAATCTGAGTTCATGTACGGTACACTTAAGCTTGCCGTGCAGCGTGCTCTGTATTGTTTCATAGTTTTACTGCTTTTAATCTGCTTTTGGTACTTCAGATAAACAGAATTGCTGATTCTTATCTAAGATGATTGATGTGTGCTCCTAGCTAGGAGCTAACCACGCTGTGTACAGCTGAACCATGTGTGTATGTGTACTGATATGCTGTGTGTGTTGCTGTGCCTTCCAGACTGCCCTGTCCTCACAACACAGCCGCACTGCTGGCATCCTATGCTGTCCAATGTAAGTAGTGCTCCCCGGGTACACCCATTCTACACGGCAATGGAAAAGCAATTCATTAGGCCTCCCTTTAACTACACACACTGTTAAATGTAATGACTGTGGCTGCTCGAGTGCATTTATAACTGGTGCTCTGAAGCCATTACGTTTCAATTAAGCTGTGTGGTGACATTTGATATGAACGTCAGGGTTCAAGTGTTCTATGAGACCGTACAGTGAGGACGGCTCCAACATCAGCCTGACAGGCCAAATGACGCTGAGAGGCCAATGGAAACATGTGAGGATTACGAATCCGGTTGGCGGATGTTTAAAATAACAGACATCCTCTTCATTTGCTCCTCAAGAAGTGTGTTGTGGTGCCTTGAAGGAACACATAAAGGAACGATGTACGTTGTCGTCTAACATTACCAGGTAGGGCTCAGTTCTGCACTGGGCAGCCCAGTGGACGGGCTGAAACGCAGCACTGCTCTACTTCTGTTTGGATCCTGGCTTCTTGCAGTGCTGTTTCAGCACCTCATTTTAACTGCTGGGGCTGGAAATCCCGCTTCATTAGGGTTAGGGTTAGCAGACCCGTCTGCTCCACTGGATGTTCAGCCTCAGAGCTGATCCCATCCACTGCTGTGACTCAGCATTTGGGTTAAAATGCTGACTCGGCCCCTCTGTCACCAGAATAATGACTCCTGACACAGTGATCTGTCTGTCTGTCTGTCTGTCTGTCTGTCTGTCTGTAAACTATCTGTCTGTCTGTCTGTGTGTGTGTCTGTCTGTCTGTCTGTCTGTGTGTGTGTCTGTCTGTCTGTCTGTAAACTGTCTGTCTGTAACCTGTCTGTGTGTGTGTCCT